ACATGGTTCGTGGCACCTGATGTGCCAGTCCTGGTAAACAAAGGCACTGCCGTACCGTAGCCATGCACAGACGTGAGCACAGAACACACACCCTCGAGCTGGAAGAGGGTCCCTGAGCCGCCGACTGCCTCCTGCTTCTGAGACGTGTCTGGCCTTCACCCGCTGGCCTCTGTCTCTGCTTGTTTAATGCTAAAGGCTCGCACTTTGCTGGCCGGCCCTGGAGGGGGTCATTCCCCTTGCGGCCGCCATCACCGTGGTACCTGGAGTCCTCTTTCCGCCGCCCCACACTTAGTGCTCTGCACTGAAGTCTCTGCTCTCAGACCCCTGGCTCGACCTTGACCCTACGCACCGCCAACCCCTGTGTCTGATTTCCCAGGAGCCACGCTGTGTGGCCTTCCCCTGCCACGGGGCACTCCCCAGGCCTCCTGGGGGTTGCGCTCTTATCCCCTGTGGGCCCGGACACAGAGCTCCCTGCCCTCTGTCTCTGCAGGTGGGGACCTTGCCCACCCTTGTACTCCCCAGCAATGGCTGTGGCAGCCCAGAGAACAAGGGGCTCAGAGCCCACGGCTGCTGCTCAGGCTGCCGCTGGCAGTGAAACACAAACTGAACACACAGAGGAACTAAACCCTGCAGGAAGTGACGAGGCCACTGGGGAGATAAGGAATTCTAGCATTGAACTTCTTAAGGAAATCGGCACACAATTAAAAGTGAAGTCACTGGCGGTGTGGAGCTGTTCTTACCGAGGACAGCAGAACCTTGCAAAACCTGAGGGCCGTAAAGCTGTGCTCGACTCCAGCCAGGTGAGGCGCTGCGACCCAGCCGCTTGTGTGAATTCTGGATGTTTGGTGTCCCTCGCCCCAGGGACCCCGAGTGTTGGGGTTCGCCGCCTCTGAAGGGCTGCCCGGCTCAGCGCCTGGACTTGTCCACCCACAGCTTTGACGCAGCAGCGAGCATGGCCCCTTTGTCCCAGCTTCTGCCCAGCTGCGTCAGACCCCACGCTTGGCGGTGAGGAATTGATTACAGCAGATCAATAAGGAGCATCGGGAGACCACAGAGGGAGATGTTTTCTCAAGGGAATCGATTCTCAGTGTTTGCTGACGATCAGTCATTTAAAAATGATGTTTAATTCTGGAGATCACTAAAATATCTGCAGATCCTCTTAAACTTTACATTGCACGTAAATATGCAAAGATTGCATTTCACCAAAAGGTCACTCAGTTGGTCTGCACAGCACAGGGGGCGAACGTGGAAGCTGTGTTTCAGGAGACCGGGGTGTTTGGCTCCAGGCAGCTCAGGGGGCAGGGTCTGGGGTCTGTGCACACACGGCTCAGGGGGCAGGGTCCGGGGTGTGTGTGTACACGGCTCAGGGGGCAGGGGCCGAGGTGTATGCACACGG